TGCACAGTCTGCACTTATCACTCCCTGCATCCCATGCTCTGCAGTTTCTATGAAGTTTTTATGACTATCATTACCACAGTGAAAGCACATGTTTGTAATTATTATAACTCTTCTTACCTTGTTGAGTTCTATTTTCTCTTTGCTTGGCATGAACCATCTTTGTAACCAGCATGGCTTTCCTTATTCCATTGTGGTGTGCTGGAGGCAGTGGGTTTATTATTTAATAATTTTAATTATTATCTTAACTTTTACTCAAGTTCCTTTTCACAGCTATTAATGTAACATCACTAAACTCTCCATGTCATACAATGCAGCCAACATAACCTTGTACACTACACCGTCTATTCCATTATTATAGCACCTTTAGTCAGTGAAACAATTCTGTTTTCAGAATGCTGATGCGTCTGAAATTAGAAGGGCATATCGTCGCTTATCCCTTGTGTTGCATCCTGACAAAAATGATGCTTCAGATGCTGAAGTTAAATTCAGACAGGTAATATAGTTTCTTATGTTTCCAGGACTATCTTGTATCACACAATAAAATTAATAAATAAAATTCATGCTGTTCACTAATTAACATAGCAGCATTCAGTATTTATGTATCGCCTTTGTGATTATGTGTTTTATGTATATTGTGGTTGTTTTTGTAGTTGGTGGCAGTGTATGATGTATTAAGGGATGCAAACAGGCGTATGCGTTACAATGATGTGCTCAAAAATGGGCTCCCAGACTGGCGACAAGCCGTTTATTATTATCGACGTGTCCGCAAGATGGGGCTATCAGAAATGTCTGTTATTTTGTTTGTGTTGGTCACAGTGGGACAGTATATTGTCTCGTGGGCTGCCTATCTTGAGAAGAAGTATACAGCTGTAAGTTTACAGAAAAATGATATTTTAAAGTTTTCTGAGTTGTTTATATAGTATTTCACTACATTTAGATCCAGGTAAAAGATCAGCATGAAATATTTATCTCCCAGTCGCTTGCATTATTTCCAACGTTAAACATTTATCAGGAAACTATAAATTGGGTATACCAAACCTTCCATTTCCCACCAGTTCATCAAATCATCAGCTCACTCCTAGAAGACAGTAATCTCTAAAACTGATTATTGGAAATAAGTACATACATAAAGCTGTATAACTTCCTGGAAGACGGTTCAGTTCATAATTTTTCCATATGATTATGAATATTTAAGAGGAAAAATGTGTGACATATTCAAGTTAAAGCATGACCTAGGGTTCAAAACTTGCTCATATGTTCAGTTATTGTTTATTTGATGATGTGTATCAACTGCTGCGGTTATAAAGTGATGAATGACCAGATTAGTAGGTGATGCAGGAAGTAATAAAGGTTTGTACAAATAGACCATTCCTTTACTAAATCCTGAGGTAAACCTTGGGACTCTTAGGTTCTTCTGAATGTAAATCAGGACAGAATACATTGTCAGTAAAATGGATAGATGTGCTCTATAATTAATAGATTGTTGAAATGTGTTCAATACATTATAAATGGTTGTTTTGTACATGCCAGATGAAGGTGTTATACAAATGCTAACGATTTGAGGTATCTATGGTAAACTGTAATATGAGTATTAATTACATTCAATTCAATTAATTATATTAAACTTAAAGATAATAAAACATTTCCTGCAATATGTCAACCTTTTGTTTCATATTGTTATAATCAGCATGTCAAAATGGATTTGTTCAACAAAACATAGCGGAAATAGAAAGTGGATGAAAGTTAACTGTACTTTTGTTAGTTTCTGTGGATTTGAATTGGGAGAAGTAGGTCAGGATTTCACTTTCATGCTAAATTTTTTGTTAATGCTTAACAGCAGATTGTAATTGTCAGAATTTTGTTCATTCAAGTGAAAGCTCAGCATTTGTTCCTTTAAGGTATTTTATGTGATCAGGCATTGTCATGTCACAGTCTTGGATCTGCCATACATTTTAATTATACAGTTATCTCTTGAAATGATACAACTGAATTTATGAGGTCAAACCCAGAAGTATTATCCAATTATATGTACTTTGAACAGAGTCTTTTGAAACTCATTAATTAACAGTGTGAGAATAACTGATTAAAAACAATAAAATTTGTTCAGCAATATTAGACAGCCAACATGTTGGTATCTATGTGATCTCTTACACAAGAATAATTGAATGTAGGTTGATTTAATGACATTTATTCAACTGTTCATATGTATGAATTCAGAAGGCTACATTGAAGCGACACAATCAGTCTTCTATCTTTAATTCTATATTATGGACTGTTACAGTTGGATCAATAATCCACTGATGGTAAAAACTAAAAGTCCAAACTCGAGCCAGATGATATAAATGTTTAAGTGCAGAGTCATATTGTGATGCAATTTTCCTTTACTTAATTGGAGTATTTTTCTTATTGTACCCACTTTAATCTCTTCATATAATATCTGCAGGAACAGTTCCTAAACATGAGATTAAAGAAACTGCACAAAAAACAAAAAAAGGGAAAATATGATGGGCCCGCACTTCCAGAAACAATAGTTCTAGATATTCCAACACCGAGGTATGTATTGTTCAGATCTGAGGAGACATCAGAAGCCATTAATTTTAGGCACTCTGTAACAGGCTTGCAAAAATGCACCTCTTAATTTTGCCATGTCCGTCTATCTGTCATACACCTTGCAAAATGCCGACTTGAATGAAATTTGATACATTTACATTTCACTTACATTTGCATGTTGTTTTTCCAGTGTAGTGTTGGTACCTCTGAACAAACAGCACACTTCTTTGATTTTGTTGATTATATATATCTTTGATATTCAAAGGATATGGGTTCACTGTAGTTGTTTGGGATTGTTTTTTCTAGTGTACGAAATACACTGCCCTTTCAGCTGCCTTGCTGGTTATTCTGGTTTGTGGTGGTTTTTTGTCCAAGAAGTGTTACGCTGATCAGGGAATACTGGATGGAAAGGAAGCAGAGGAAACAACAGGAGCAGGAGGATCAGTGGTATGTTTAATTTTAAAAATATCCTATTATCAATTTGTATACGGATGCCATGTGGAAGTCCTTCTTGAGAAGGCGATAGTATGCTCAGCTAGTCAACAAATTTTCCACCTTTCACAAAACCAGAGGGTTCATTGAACCTGACATTGGTCTCTATCTTAAATTAAATGATCCAATCCACACCCTCAAACCCTATTTCCAAAACATACATTTTAATATTATCATCCCATCTGTGCCTAGGTCTTCCCTACAGGCATTCCAAACAAAATTTTGCACACACTTCTCATTTTCCCACATGTAACACTGTCAGTAAATTGGGAAGGTTATGGAAGAAAGTAGTCATGGCCTAATTTAAGGTATTAATATTGGCATTTGCCTGGAGGGACAAGTAAATCCATAAAAGCTTTAGTTCGATAGACAATCTCCAGGATCTGGGATCTACTGTACATGAAGCAGGAGTGCCAACCACTCATCCGTGACATTTCATTCCCACATATGAGCTAGCCCAGCTCCTTTGTAAAATATTCATTCCAAAATAGCCCTGCTCCTTTGTAAAATATTCATTCCAAAATCTGCATGTGTGATATTCCAGTGAATCTTGTAGTCCAAAAAATATGACACCTCCAAATTAGTATGAAAGAATATATGTTACAAGATACAAAAACAAATACAAAGTGAAATTTTGAGGTTATGTCTGGTAGTTTAGAATCTTCACTAGTAAACACTATAAAGTCCTGCTAGCTTTTCTAGCATCAAGCATCTTAAAATACTTTCAGAATTTAATGTTGATTCTATTATGTTTGAAAGGGATGATGTAATGGATTGCATTTTAAAAAGAATCGAAACTCACAAGAAATTATGCTTACTGCATGTCTGTGAGCATCTTGCTGACAACTTCAGCATCAGCAGAGAAATGTTCATGAAACATGAACATCATGCCATCTGTACTGCCTTTTAAAGCAGGTGTACCAAGCTGGAACAAACACGGCGTCAGTCTACATAGGATTTTTAAATGTTGCAAGATGGTAGATCTTTAAACATGTTCAAATTTACAGGAGTAATTTGGCAATAAATGTTCCACCAGGTAATATATTTGCTTATGGCAACAAGCCCTTTCATAATATATCTGTTATTACTTGTTGAGCTTAGGTCAGAGGAAGAAGAGGAAGCTGAATTGGAGGTGCGTGGACCTCGTCATCGAAAAGGCAGGGCATTCCAAGTTCCAGAGTTGGGAGTAGGAAATCCAGGTCCACCTGGGAGGACTGAAGGCTGTCTGTTGGACCCAGGAGAGTCTCCTTTTCAGTCTGATGATAATGAGAATAAAACCTCAACACAATTGTCAGGGGGGCTGTGGACAGATGACGATCTAGCTGAATTAGTGCGTCTCGTCAAAAAGTTTCCTCCGGGCACAGCATCCCGATGGGAAAAGGTTGCAAATTTCATGGGTCGTTCTGTGGCCGAGGTGACTCATATGGCCAAGAAAGTAAAGGAAGATGGCTACAGGATCGCCACATCAGGAGGCAGTGTAACACCTGCAGAACAGGAAGCTTCAAAATCAGAGAAAGTAAAGACAAGAGCTACTGTTCTGTCTCCTGAGGCTGAATGGGGTCAAGTACAACAGAAGGCTCTTGAAGCAGCCCTTACAAAGTATCCGAAAGGAGGAAGTTCTGACCGATGGGACAAAATTGCAAAATGTGTTCCTGGGAAAAGTAAGGTAAGTATACGTTCCATAAAACTGAACAGTTCTATAACTCTGCAGGATGAAAAAAAACTATTTTTCGTACGGATATTTAAACTTTTAAAGGCATAACAAAGTCAACAATGATATCCAAGGTCTCTGATGCAATGTGATCAAAAGTCACTGTTGTGAGCCAAACATGACTTGTAAAAATATGTCCCAAAAATGTCCTTAGTTCCTACTGTTGCATAAGTTTGTTGCAACTGACTTGGGTCATGTGGGTTTCCTAGTTCCAAGAAAAAATGTACAGAAAGACATGGATGGGTCCATAAGATCTTTGCTCATGCTAGATTATGAATAATGCCTAAATACCACAAAATACAAGTCAGAATAGCCAGGAACTGAACAAAATATCTTCAGAATGCAAATTATGACATTGTGAACGTACTCAATTATATCTTGAATGGAGAGAGTCAAACATGAACTGCACACAGAAGTTTGGATGGGAAACCTAATTTGTAAGACCAAGAAAGAGATGGGAGGAGGATTATATAAAAGAGCTCATAGGGGCAAACACTGTGATGATGTGGCTAAGGACCCATGTTCAATGAAAGGCTTTAGTATTAGATTCCGTCTGGATGACCAGTTCTGTTTTATCCCTCGGCAGGAGGAGTGCATGCTACGTTATAAACAACTAGTAGAGATGGTTAAGAAGAGAAAGGTGAATGGGGAAGTGACATCACAACAGCAATCTCATGGCGACGACGAAAAACACTGCGATACTTAAAGAGAACAGAGTATTGCGCATTAAATTATTCAGTGATTACTATGACAATGTATAATATAGAAATTATTATGCTGTATGTTTTTGAAATAAAATTGACAACCATTCATTGTATTTAATTACTGTTACAACTAAATCTTTCAGAACCATGTTTTTCCAGTTACCCTAAAACAGTGTAAGCTAAAACAACAAATGATCTCATATGTTAAAAAATATACATCTTTTAACAGATTAAGGAAACACATTCAAGAAGCGTTTGATGCTATATTGTACTTCAGGAAACAATTTTTATGCTTCGGCTCCCTTCATGATTAATGGATTCTTTCCTGGACTGCTGCCGTGTGTATGATCGGATCCAGTACATAATGTGCAGGAACATTCAGTTGGCACTGAGACTGGCAAATTGTGGCGCGTCTCATCATCGCAGATAAGTGTCACATTCATGTGACGCAGTTTCGTGGGTTTGCAACAGTCGCACCTGCTGTCATGTAAGCCAGTCTCTGCAAACAGAGCATAACTGTTACTGTTGTTCTTTGAATGCTGGTTACCGACAGAGTAGTTCTTGTCAGAGGTTTTGTTTTACCACCACATTCTGATTGTGAAGTATATTAATATACTAACAAAAATATAAAATTACTTACTTGAATTGTAGACGGTGCGTGAGTCACAGTTTCCACTGCACTCGGTAAAGCCGCGGATTTCGTGCGTGTTGGTACACTTGCCATAAGGTTCTTTGACAAAAGTGATTAATCCCACTGTGTTCTTTGGTGGTATTGTTTCTGCTTCACACAACGGACCTGTAAGAGGTAATTAAATGCCATTAAATACTACTTACTTCTCTGTGCAGAATACTTCATATGAAATGAGAAGTTATGAAGCCATTAACAGCATTCTTGCCCAGGATCAGACTGAGCCCTTGGTTTTGTGCCCTCAAATGGATTGACTGTACCAACTCCAGATGATGATAATAGAAACCTCGATGCATCGTTTTCGGCGGGGGGGGGGAATAAAAATGATGAATGCGGGAAAACGATAGATGCGGGAAAGCATTAAAAAATTAAAAAAAAAACAATGTTTCTCTTTCAAAGTTACTTCTTTTTACCAAAAAAGTCTTTAATGGACAACTGGTTTGTCGAAACTTTACGTTTTAGACCAAACAGAGCACTTTCCACGTTCAAAATGTTTTCCTCGTCACGTTCACTAATATTAAGCGCATAAAAGAACGACTTCACTTTCGCCAATGCAGCGTGCGCTTCGGCAAAACTCGGCAAAGCTTCGGCTCGCATTCGTCGTCTTCCTCTTCCTCACCACTCCAACCCCCTTCGCGAACAATAACAGGAAGAATGGAAATACTATTACTGCCGAACTCAACGAAACGTAGCTGTAGAAGACCCTGAACCGCGGGAAACGAGATGAACCAGAAGAATGAAAAGTGCCGCCAGCCTTTCCTTTGTACTTGTAATAAAAGCATTTGTGAAGAAATTCACACTGCACATGCCATCTGGCATCACTGGAACGAAATATGAGTGCACCCAAATTAAAATCGTAAAATTTCTGACAATGGGCACCGCCATTCACTCCAACTATCACCCCTGCACCGCTGACCCCTCATTCCAAAAGAATCTGTGCTGGTTGGGCGACATAACCGGTTACCGCTACTGCGTATTCCAAAAACATTGTGCGTCTTTCGGTAATAATTTATCTCAAAACCCAGCATTTTAAATTCTCAGAAACGATCATTGCGGGAAAATTGTGGGCCGGGACTAAGATTTTTGAACGATCGATGCCATAACACGATAGTTCGAGGAACGATAGAAGCGGGAAAATGTAACATTATTTTATATGGGATGTATTCGGGACCGAACAAAACGGACGATGCATCCGGGAAAACGATGGATAGATGTTTCACTGTATATTAAAATAGAGCACTAGCGGAATTTCTGGATTCACTTACCCCTATTTTCACCAGTCATATTGCATCGTTTGCAGCAGCCATCCGTATATATATTTTCAGGAGAACACTTTAATTCTGGACATACCGGCATCATGGTTGTCACCTAAAATGTTTAAGAAATGTTCCATACACAAATGCGTTGCTTATTGACGGTTTGATCACTAATGTCAGTACAGTGCCACTGAATGGTTTATTTCACAAATTTTCTGCTGCGTTCAAGTTAGACTGTTATACAGGCATCAGAAGTATTTCAGATCTGCAGGGACAAACATTGTCACTCGGCACTCTACGAAGATGGATAAAGTACGGGAGGGGTAACTTCTCTCCCTCCTCCCATTTTTTATATTTTTCTAACCCTTTTAAGTCCTGTGAAACTGTAAGTACCAGCTGCTTTAATAAGCAGCAACCAAGCATTTTGGCCACAGAGTGTATTTATGGGTTTCAAGTACTTTTTAAAGGAAATAATCACTCTCTACTCACTCTATAAATAAAGAGGGAAAAAACCTGCAAGTAGTATGACGACATGCAGATACTTACAGTGAAATTACTGCTACAGCTGTGGGTCAGACATCCGTCAGCTGATAACCATTCTGTTCCAGGCCTGTGAAGTTCATTGCCAACAACACAGGCAACCTGCTCACACTTTCCGCAGCAGTGACGAGAACCAGAATGCGGTGGTACGTACTGCCAGCCCTGCACAGATTGTTACTCAATTATGGGAGACCATTTTTTTAATTTTAAATTAATTTTGTGCCATTTTTATATTCAACAAAGTGAATTAATGTAACATACAGTTTAAATGATTTTTAATATCCATTTTTAAAAAAATGACAATTCCAGAGGTTAACAACAGAGAGAAGAAGTTAAAATGTCTATCGACATACAATAATATTTTAGATAAATTTCACATGATGCTCCCATATAATCTCCCATCACCACAACAACCTAACACCTTAGGAAACGTTACACAGGCCCTCAGACTTGGGTGGATACTTTGGAATAACCTAAGGAATGGAAAACGGATGTAAGATTTTAAACTTACAATATTAGTTCACTGAAAGAGATGTGGGAAGATCACACAACACAATTTAAAGAGGTCATCATTCAGTTTTATCTCAATCCACGATAGGACAGAGAAAGATGAAAATTTTTGTCCAGAAGGAACAGATAAATGACTGATAGATACTGATTGGTATTTCAGAGGAACTTACAGTTCCACCACCCTAATGATGTAACAATTAAGCTCCTTAGAAATATCAATCAATATCTACCAGACTACATCCCTCGCCGTCGCCACGCGGTCTGAGGCATCTTGCTACGGACCGGTGATACGGAATGCGCGCTGGTTCGAGTCTCGGGGGAGAAGAAATTTTCTCATGAGCTTTCGACCAGTGTATGGGACTGGTGCCAACCCAGCATCGTGAGGAAATTGGGGAGCTACAATGAGTAGCGTACTCCGGTCATGAAAACTAGCAATGGCTGGGGGTTCGTCGCGCTGACCACACGTCATCCTATATCTGGTTGGATGATCGTTCACCTCTGCTTAGGCATGTGAACGTGAGGCCAGCGGTCAAGCTAGCCGGCTTTGGCTCTCAGAGGGCTGTTACGCCACAGATGATTATTATTAGTATCTATGAGACTACACAGCGCTACAACCAGGAAGATAAACATCTTCATGCAAATGTCTTGACTGGCTAATTATAAAGGATTCTGCTCCACAGAGTCAGTCACTTAGGTAATTCTTACCACAGCACATTCAGTATTGCAGACTTGTGTTTTATCTTCCTTCCTTATCTGTCCATCCTGGTCTTTTAAGCAACTCAAATTCTTGCAAGGATCTCCATCAGGTGATGGCCATGTCTCGCCTTCCTGAGACAGAGAAAGACGAACAAACAGAATTATTCAAGCATAAGGAACAGATGAATGACTCACCTAAAGTTTTGCCTACCTCAAAGTTATTATCACATTCATAAATGCAAGTAAAATGAGGATTTGGCTACTTCACAGTATAAAAGGTAAACTAGATCCTGGTAAGTATTAATCACCATGCCATGAGGACATATGTGAGTAGTGGTCAGCTTCATGACCCAATGGGAAAGGGCCCACAGTGCCTACTGAATAAGAGGCTGAATGGGTCCCAGAGGAAAGGAGAAAAATCTTTCATCCCTGCCAGAAAATAAAGCCTGGTCATCAAGCTTGTATTATTAAATGTGTGTAAAAACTTTATTTGAAGGTATTTCATCATTTCAATAAATTCTAAATATATTCAACAGAGGTAAGCAGGCTCAGTAATTTTATGCCCGAGCAAAGCAAAGCTTGTGAATGCTTAGCTCAAACCTGATTTTTGATCTTGAAATATTATTAAAATAATTATTTGGGGCTTACGTGGCTGTCAGTTTACGTTGATCATATCAGATGATGTGTTCCATAGTAAGCAGCCCATTTATAATAGTTATAATTTGTAACTTCGTAGACTATACAACTAGTCGAAACGGCAAACACTGGTAGTTAAAAACATTGCTCACTGGAAATGTAAGCAAAGTCCATAAATCCCCTAATCCACCATCAACTGGCATTATTCATCAACGTAAAGAAACACGCGTTTTGATTGCACTGTAATAAACACCACTTTTTGAGCTTTTAAATGTGCCATCCGTAATAGGTGAACGATTAAATGGCCACTAATTATACAACTTCACTGCGTATGAACAATATACAACTCGAGGAAATGCTCGCATCAACAGAACCATCTTTGATGAGACACGGTTGCAAACGTAACAAACAGAAACTACCAAAAGCATGAAACTTACCATATCGAATCGAAATATGGTGCTCATGGGATTACTAAAACTTTATTACGAATAGAATAAGATTACTTTCAAGACAGAGGAGCATATTGACTCAAAATTTTAAAAATTATAAACCTGAAAAATATTTTAAACATTGCACTACAAAAACTTAATTTTTATTTAAATACCACTAAAATATCCGTCCACTATCATTCGCATGTCGAAAGCAATACTGTTCCACTTCACGACTTTGAGGAGTTGTGCCGTTGGTACAAGAGTGAGAAGAAATTTTGAAAATATGTTTTCGTAGTAATCACTCAGTAAGCACATAACCTAAATTTGTAGCCTGCATGAAGTTTCCCCACCACCATAAAAATGTGGCATTGTTTACCCTGAACAGAAGAACCCTCTGTGATGCTAGTACAATTTTATAAAATATTCAGGTAATTTCGCTGCAAATGTGTCAGTAATTTTTCATAAATATACTTACTATAAGTATCTTTACTTATGTGACTTTTCCTTTCTCCCAGTTGAAAATCCTAATCATAATCTAATTCATCTTCTGTAAATATGACATGAATATAAAAAGAATGATATATGATATGATCTGGACTTCTATGCTAGGCTGTAATGAAACATGAAATGTTGATACCTTGTAAGTGCGGTTATGAGCTCTACAGGCAACTGGAACTAACTTCTTGCAGCACTGGTGTGGAACAGGTTCTTCATTTATCACATATTCTGCTTCCAGTTCAGGTGGAGGAAGAGGACACTTCTGTGTCACTGACTGGACCACATGCTGTATAAAAGTCATGGAATAATAAAAGTATGCCAAACACATCCATTTATGTTTTAGTGCTGATATACACACAGTTGCTCATATCCCCTAGAGGTGTGAAGTGACTTAAAATGCAATCAAACTTTCATATATGAAGGAAGCTTTGATATATCGCTTATATCGATTTATGAATTTTAAGTGATGTGTTGGGCAAGGCCGTGGTCTAGGCAACACGGAGTTTTCCTCCGGGGGCTTCCCCGGTTTCTCCATGGCATCCCAACAATTACTCCATTCACACACAGAAGAAGGCAATGGCAAACCACTTCTGGATCATCTGCCAAGAACGTATATGAACAGGTCCCAGTCCGAGAAAAGGATGGAAGGATCCTGTTCATATGGACCTGTCGTCAGACAGAACACTAAATAAAATAAAATCTATTGGGGGAGGAAAAAAGAAACTTTTCCTTTGCATACCTGTGGTTGCCTTGTGTATATAAATCTGACTGATGTGGGCATGGAAAAGCAAACTGTACAAGATATCACACCCTAGAGTAGTATTAAAGGTAACCTGAACATTTCATTCCATTACTTCAAATAATTTCTAAGATATTTAAGTATTTCATACTCATGTTAAACACATTCCCACACTGAAAAATGGCTGTGAAGTTATAATATGCCACACATTTAAAGCTTTAAAGGCTTGTATCACATGCTTATGAAGAGTAATCAAATCTTATTGAAATGAAAGGTCAAATTTAGCGGCATTAATAGGCTACTGCTTTTGTCTGAATCAATAATTTTCCATTATTAATATGGAGCTAACTTTAACTACTTTATATGTTACATATTACAGTACCATTTTCACTATTATCTTTTAACAAAATGTAACATGCCACGTGTGTACGCTGTGTGCAAAGTGTTCACTTACAGATCCATTATGAAGCAAGCAGAAATTGGTTGTACACAGGTCAGCTGATGTCCAGTTGGAATTTGCCTCCTTCAAGATACCATTGACCACGCAAGCAAACTGGCGACAATGACCGCAGCATTTGTTTGCTGGAGGTTCCACATACTCAAAACCCTAGAATCATACACACAGAAAAATGTCTTCATTCAATGCTATATAATCTTACAGCTACTGAAAATATCATTAAATAAATAAAGGGTCTATATATTCAGAGTGAGTCAGAAGTATGTTTACAAACTTCGTGTGTGTGTTCCAGGATCCAAAATAAGAAAAAATGTTCCTATGAACATTGGGTCGCAAATGTATGTATGTACAAGACAATGTTACTATTGTAGGTATCCTAGTTATCCACGTTTCAAATCATATCACACCAAACTGTATTACTGAACATTGAGTGTTGTGATTTTGAACTTTGTAGTGATCATGCACATATCCTGTGACCTTGAATGAGTTTATGTTACAGAATTTATGCCACGTGAACTCACTAGAAACCGACATATAAAGAACAGATTAAAGACAATATATTGCACCTACTCAGAACATTGCTGTGTTGTCAGCTTGAGCTGTCTACACATCAGACACATTTCTTTTACATAGCTTATTCATATTTTACTAAATTTATTTGTAATTTTTATTGTTTGAGTTTTTTCCACAAATTTTAAAACTGTAAATTACACATAAAAATAAACGATTCATACGAATAAGCATCACATTGATAAGTCTTCCTAATGTTTTCTATTGCAGTGCAATATCATTGTAATATGGCTATTTTAACACATTTGCTCCCAGGTACTTTGCTGACAGTTGATCTTACAGCCGAACCATTTTCAGCAGTATACATAAATGGGTGTATGTCTGTCTGTCTGTCTGTCTGTCTGTCTGTGTGGTGCTTATAAGGCTTATTCAGTAACAGGACACCACTTCTCTAATGGACACTAACCCATAGTGCATCATGGTGTAGCGTACAACTCTTGAATCTTATTTCTTTTCTGTGTTAAAATCTTAGCCCAAAGACCAGGTGTCCTGAATGAGGTTTCCTCTTTTTAAATTTTTGTACAGGATATACTGAGACGGTGCTTTAAAATAGGCCCTTTCAGATAAATCCCAATTTATAATTGAATCTGCTAATAAATGCTACTTAACCTATAGCAATAAATAAATAATTTTATTTCAATACCAGTTCACAGTCAATGTCACACTTCTGAACCCTCTGCACCTTTTGTACTGAACCAGCAACTGCTTCACATGTGTATGTTTCACATGGATCACCAACTGGTGACGGCCACTCTGAGCCCACCTGGAAGTAAAGCAGAAGCAACAATCTTCATGAAATGCATTTCATAATTATTATGCATTCTTTGTACAAAATGTATGCATACAATACACAAATATATCACATTTTTATCTATAGTTCCTTACTATAATATAGCTGTAGTATCCTTTTTTCTTCAAGTCCCCCCCCCCCCCCCCCCCCCACAAGTTCCAGACATGCCTAACTGAATGGAACGGAGCACATCTTGAAAAATTGATATTCTCACGGCTCTCCAAATACTTCCTTGCAGTTTATGGGACCAGGTTCATTGCCTTGCTCAACAGCAGTCCTTATCCCGTGTCATATAAACATATTGCACACCCTCGTATCACATTCCTTTAAGATGCATTCAACATTATCCTCCTAACTAACAAACAGATACTCTATATTAAAAGGCACCAAGAAAAATCTAATTTTTGTTTCATTCCAATGTAACCCCAATTTCACATAAAGCTGCAAACTTTATTCAACTTCCCAAAAATGGATCACTGTCCAAAGAATTACTACATCACATAAAGTAAAGATCTCATTAACATTTACAATTATCATTTAAATGTTTTTCAATGTGGTAAATATTTAATAAATTGCAAGTAAAAATAATTTATGACTCTGTACAGTGTAACATTTGTAGCACAATTAGCTTTGTAAAAATTGAGTTGTATCTGCAATAAACAAATATCAACTTAATGAGACTGTAGGCAGCGGCCTTTCAGCAGACTGCGTGCGTGAGAATTGGCCTTGTGACGATGGCCTGTAAGATAATGGTCTCATGGAAAACTGTGTGTGAATGAGCACCGTAACTCAGGACTGGGTGCAGTGGCAGTATTTTGCGCATGTACCTTGTGAACTGTATCACCCTCTTTGCAAGCTGTCCTCACAATACTGGGGCAGCACTGGTTGGGTACCAGAACTTTTTCAAGTTCATATTCTGTTGCTTCCTTTTCATTTGAGATGTCAGAACAGGTCTGAACTTTGCACACAGGATGGTGGCTGCCTGCTGCATTGCCCTCACAAGTACAGGTACGACAAGGACCATCACTCCAGTGGGAGCCAGGCTGAGTAATAAAGGGAAATATAAGACACTCTGGGTTAATCTAAAGCATTTCTGTTGACCAACGGAAACTCATAATGTTTCTGTGAAATGTAATAATATTTATTCCAGACAGTGGAGTGTCTGATGTATCTCACTAGAAGATTTTACATCATTTCTACATGGATGACTCACATTGTCCAATGTACCAATCAGAATCTGAAAATTTTCACTGCACCACTGTTTACGAACTTGCGCATCATTATGTAGCGTTACCACTCAAAAGTGACAACAGTGATCTCATAATCAGTTAAATGTGATTGCTATTCTGAATTAATTACACACATCCTAAGAGACACTCTTTTACTAACATATCCAAAACAGGTACTTAAAGAATAACATATTTTAAGCTTATTTATCACAGTAATTAGACCTGTATTTCAAGTCTGTCATAATATTGCACTATATGATATCAATTAAATGTAAATCTCAATGCAGTTGAATAACACAGAAGTACCTGCAAGGAAGAAGTATAAATTTCTTCTGTTTTTCGAGGTCTTTCACCACCAACAACATCAGATATGTACTTATATTCATACACACATTTATCCTTTGGAGTCTCTGAAACAAAAGAATTATACTTCAAGTAGACAAGGAAAAGAACTGTACTTCTGAATGTGTTATAATGAATGAAATAACCTACCGATATGAATCACACAAGACAATCATTTTAATAACTTAGCACAAAGACTGTACATTACTATGTAGTAGGGCAAGTTACAATACTAAGTAAACTACTCAAGAGGCTTTGCAAATTCCACTGTTACTTCATAAGATTAAAGAAATATGACTGTAAATTCTGGGGCTAATGAAATACCAGAGCCTTGAACAGAATCTGAAAGTGAAGCAGATGGTAGAGACTTTCCATCTGGTACCAATGTTTCACAGCACAGAAGAACTTTTGAAAACCAATTTGTTCTAATTTACCTCACATTTAACACTTTTCAGTCCTGTACCTAGGTGGAATGAACACCACCGTACATTCTACTGAGTCAAATGTTAAAACAGCCTTGATACAGTCCACAGACCAGGAGAAAATCCCTGCTAGGAATCTGATATACGCGCATGCGCAAGATTTCGTGGTGAGTGACGACCCATCCTAAAAGCATTCGTTCCACAACCACTGAACGGACAACAGACAACAGGCTTTCCTGTGTTCTAATGGGCATAGCTTTAAGATTACTTCACAATGGCACAGTGATTTAATCTAGAATATTATCGCAACACCCACACAACGCAGCACAGGTATACTCACTACACGCTACTCTTAACTGCTTGATGTTTTCAGTCTGTGTGTAGTAGTGTGAACCTCTGACATATCAAACTTCCCACCAAAAGCAGCCCTCTAGTCGACTTGATAGTAAACATTCCCCCTGCACCCCACCAGAAACGACTTACCCCCGCAGGGCTTTTCTCCTGGTCTGTGGACAGTACTCTGTTGGTCTATATTTGTTGGCTCTGTCATCTCCTGCAATCTGCAGGGTGACAGAATAATATAGTTTCATGATATAACAAAATTATTAATGCCACTTTTCAAGAATAAGAAATTGATACTATAACGTCAAGAATATTTACCACATTTAAATTGTGGACAACATTCTCCTTTAGGTACTGGAAGCTCCTCAAGATCGTAGTATTGTTGACAAGGCTTAGGTTTAAGACAATTGTCTTGTTGACACACCCACTTCATCTTCGGACAGCATCCTTTTGTATCGTTCACCTGAACCCAGCCATGACCTCTATGCGGAATGCGAGGTTGATCATTTATTTCAGAACCTTCCAAACCTAATGGATATACTTCAGCAGCTATATCTTCCGTTCCTTCCTCCTGAGGCTCACAAGGTTTGCAAGCTACCGACAAATACGATGATGTTAAAGAATATCAATCAGCAACTTGTTTATCTGTCCTCAGTTTTGAAAACTACAAATGCACATGATATTCGAAGGTTCTCACAGCAGTGAAGGTGTCAATACTGGTATTCTGGGCTGTATCGCCTTCAGGGCCAAAGACCTGAAGATGGAGGAAGCATGCTCCTCCAAAATGAAGATATCTATTTACAAGTTCACGTGGCATCACAACCCAGAAGACTAACATTGACAAAATTATACAATTTATATTCTTTCAATTTAATAACTTTATTTCCCCATCATTCCATTCAAGGGCAAGAATAATCATGAATAGAAAAGTAAAATCACAAGATACAACGTAAGTTGTATCATTAAAATCTGTACTTTACAGATTACAGTTTTGTTATGTGGATTGAAGTCTAATGACATAATGCTTTCTGTTAGCATTATCAAATCTTTGAGTTTTAATACTACAGAGTTTGTCAGTAATTTAGATGAAAGTTGAAGATTTTTATCTGAACTTGGATATTAAATTGCATCACTCACCACAGACAAACTTCGTGCAGCCCTGAGGACTTATGGTGGTTTGCACTTGTTGATCGTCTTGGCACAATGGTATCTGGACTTCTGGGCAAAGCACTTCAGTGGGCTGGGGAGAGGTCAGTGGTGGAACTGCAATGCAACATTGAATAGCATTATCATCTTATGGTAACTGAACA